CTTTGGGCTACACAGATCTTTCTCGGCTGGACGATTCCGCCGGTCCAACCGCCACTTGGTCTTCGTCGCCGACTGTGTTCACGGTCAACCGTTTTATTGTCACAGCCAAAAAAGGTCACGATGCCTTCTCCCCTCCATTTGTCTAAGTCTTCGATACTGAGCTTTTAACATCAACGAGAGCATCCGTCATTTCTGGCAATGACTCACGACCGGACTTGAAGTTCCGCGACTTGCACGCTTCTGGATTTCAATGTCATTGGGAGGATCAAACAGGCCACGTCTCACCATTCGAGACCTTTTCTGCATTCTGGGGAGCGTTTTACGTCTTGAAAGGTGGTGCCGGACAAATTTCCAAAACTTAAGCTGTACCGTAATGGCAATGACGAGCCGTGCTTGAGTTCTAGAACCCACCTGTGCGGTGAGACGGAGAAATGCTCCCTGATGCCAAAAAGCATGCGAAGCCCTTGACTGACTTCGAAATCGATTTGCTGTGAGCACCGCCACGTGGGCACACGGCATTCCGTTCTCGCCTACTGCTCTTGATGCGATGCTGCCGAAATTCAACGAAAACTGGGTAATCAATCTTTTGTGTAATCTTATTAGCACCTTTTGCGAGCAATTTGTGCCTGCGGCGTTTGATAGCGGGCGTTGATTGCATAAGCGGACGTGTATGTCAGAGTTCTTGAATAAGGCCCAGACGTGTCGCCGATCGAAGCAATAACAGATTAACCTTTGGCAATGATTGGCCTGGCCTCTGAAGGCCTCCTTCAGTGGGAATTGCGCGGGCTCTGATGCCACCACACTTTCAATGTATCTATCTGTTAATCTCAAGCTTCGAGAAAGTGCAAGCTCTCGGGCCTTTCTACGGCTGCATGCAAACCTGCCACATGCGAATGTATACGAAGCAGTTGAGCATCTGAGCAGCCCGGCCTGATCCAGAACGACTTGAGGAGAGGCTTTCAGATGTTGATTCCTGGCATGATATTGCCTCTTGACGGTTGCCGTTAGAGCTGAAATAAAGGTCCTCGCCTTTGGCATGCTTTCTAAACAACCTGCTGGAGCTTTTTTTCCACCATTGATTGCTTGCAATTGGGAAATGCGAGTCCCTTTGACGCCCTCATATTGGAAGCCTGTGATCGTCTTCCTCTGCGGCGGTTAAGCACTTAAGTTCCGTTTTTGTTTGAAAAGCGAGTTCCGCGGTTCCCGAACCGGCGGCCTTCGACAATATGAAGAACGGCTTCGACTTGTTCGACATTTGAAAGAGGGCGTTATGTCAAGCAGCCCACATACGACTTTCACAAGGTCTTGATGCTAATTACTTAGCTTCTCAGGCGCTGCAAAAGCACGTTCAATAAGCGGCGGCATCAACGTGACGGTACGCGCTTTCTGGTCGCCAGATGCGCATGCTTCCGCTCGCGTCTTATCAAAGGTTCGAAACGCGGCCTGGTCTGCCTCGCTTCTTCGACAGCGGGTTTAAATCATAGCGATCCGCAAAATGCACATTCGCGCTTCTGTCCTTGTATAGTTCCTTGCAGTAAGAACTGTAGGTATGATTGCAGTGACTCTTTGAACGTGGGTCAAGGTACCCAAGTTTCTTTCTTTGACGTAGGCCAAAACGATGCCATACAGCGCCTCCTTTGAAGACCTTTTTATCGTATAAAGCCATCTCTCCGTTCGCGAGGATATAAATTTAGTTTTACTTCTGTGAGTGCACTTTCTTTCAGCAATCAGACCGACTCGTTGATCAGTCGCTTACGGGATCCTACAACACAGAGTTCAGATATCGGTACTCTTTCATTTTGCGCACACTTGATACCTCCGCGACGAAGATGTCTATTACGACGCCTTTAGGGCTTGCGCCCATGATAAGAAGGGGAAATATGATGGAGCTATCTCAATGTGCGCCTCAGCCCCTCATCTTCAATCTCTTTCAATGGGAGCGCCTCGAATCAAAGGATTCCTTCGGTCCTTGAGTGAATCTGGTGGTCATGTGATGAACATCTGCAGCCAAGCGCCCAACGTTGATTCTTCTTCGATTCTCTGACGCTATGTGAAAATGCGCGCGCGCTCTCATGGTTCACCCCCGTTCCAAGTAGCGTATCTTTATTCAAGGATCGAACTGCTGCCGCCTGCATGCAGAGAGATGTCGCCAGCCCTTGATCTGCTGTTATACGTGCAAAGCGAGAGTTTCGATATCATGGCGTGGCGTCCGACGAAGTCACGAAACATGCGCGCCGAGTAATCCGTATTAGCGAGGGACTCTTACAGTCATCTTTTTCAGTACATGAAATTCTGAACGCCGATCCCTGTATCAAAAAGACAACTGCGGCCTGCATGGAGAACTCTAACGAGAGCCCACGTGTAACCTGCCCCATTTCAAGGCCTTGCTTTTTCTTATCTCGTGCCACAGCCAAACGCCAAGAACAAGGAGCCCATCGAATTTTTAGGACAGGGTGGGCGGAAAACTCAGCTTCCATTCAGTCAGTGGGCTCAGTACGGGAAAGAACACATAGAGTGCTTCATGCTTGGCAAGGACGTAGCCGTATTCTGGTATGAGTACTCTTCTCATCAAGCGCATTCCTGGCAGAGCCACAACCTCGTCGGAAGCTTCATGTTTGGTGTCCAATCTTGATCGGCAAATAATCTGACGTACAGGTCTCTCCTTACCTTCAAATCTGACGTCCGGCGCTTTGTCTCAGACTTTTGATTGCGGTAGCATTTTGGCGTCCAGCGTTTTAAAGGGTGTTAGCGTAGGGCATCTGGATGAATTTCAATTTGGCAAGGTCGAAATGAAACCTTCCTCTCAGCGTTTTGTTCGCTGAGGAGGGGTCCGGATGAGTGAAGCGGAGGCCACGTCGTCATGTTCGAACACAAAATTCGTTTCGATGCTAACCACTGGCGGACCACAGCAGAGTCAATCCAGCGGAACTCTTGCAAAGATTTGATTTCTGGACCTACGGTAACGCGCCTTTCACTTGTACGGCTCAGCTTCTGTCATTCTTATACATAGCTGGTTGGGCTTGAATAGGAGGCAAAGATGAGCCGTTCACTGAGTGCTTCTAGCCACTCAATTAGGACGTTCACACTTATCACCGGGGCTGACGCCCGATCCTGTCTCATGCTCTGAGGTGTCAACAGGGATACTTCCATGCCCTGCCTACAACCGACTTGCCGAAGTTCTGGTTCCAATCTGTGGCCCTTCTTCGAGCCCCTCGTGTGGGCTTAGCTAAACAGTCTGCTAAAATTTTAAGAAATAACGTCAATCTGCACATTCTTTGAGTACCTGGCCGTTGTCCAACGCATATGTGTTGAACTCCAGAATAGTCTTCTGACTTTGAACTACCTTCGTTCCTGGAATAACCGCTGCTATTGATCACGTTTGTTCTCGCAGCTGGACGTTTTTTCTCGCCGCCAGCTGTCTGGCACTTTTCTTCAAGATAGCTAACACGGTGAACGTTCTGACATCTCTCTTTGAGCAACCACCGTAATTTGGATCATGAGTTTTACATCGCTTCTTCGTTTCTGAGGCCCACCGATAATCCCTATCGACCGGACAGTTCTGCCGCGAGGCTGGCAACGATGACCCGAATCATTGAGTGTCTGCGAAAAGCTCAATATCGTTTCGGATATCTGATGCCGATTCTCAGGCTAAATCGTCGAATGCCCGCCTCGTCTCGTGCATTTTCAAAGGTATTGCTGGCCGTCGACAGAATGAAGTGGTCGATTCTTCGTCGATGGATCTGAAGCTGGTGGCTAAGTGTGCCTCCTAATGATTCTTAGGTGTAAGAACATGAAGGAGCTTAATCTCGAGTGTGGTTTGAGCCTTCTGCTTTCAGTATTGCAGGGAGACTTGCCGCGACCTTGGGCTCACCCGCCCTTGCGCAGTTATCATAGAATCTAATAAATTTGTGAAACAGCATGGCTGTATAAAGGATTGACATGGAAGGTTTTAGCAGGTTCGTAGGAATCTACAGCTTGACTTGACATCGTTCATACTTTCTCGTGTTGAGCGAGTGCGTGATCACGTCTGAGTCTCAGATTGAGTAGTTCATGTGTGAGCATGTCAATCAGTGCGAGTCACTAACACGCGGGCCGCAAGGGATGAGCCAGATACTCACCTTGATCGCGCCGTTAAGCCGTGATTTCAGATTCTTGTCAAATATGTTCCTAGATCGGACAACGTGCTTTCGTCTTGGATATAGCATACTCTCCTCGCGCGCGCCGGGTGCTTGTGTGGGCAGCTTGCATTCGTTGGGCGTCGGAACGTACTCTCAAAGGATCCGGAATACTTAAAATGGGTGCACTAGAGTGCTCCCCGAGTGCTCCAACGAGATGTTGGAGACCCATGGCAAGGATGGGTTTATATGATGAGCTTCTTTCCGCTCAAGCTCGGAAATTGGAGATGAAGCCACCAGAACCTCCAGTAACAGTTGTACCATTTCTTAGCAGAGAACAGGGTGTAAGTTTGAGCTTGTAAATCATTGAGGGGACAATGTCAACAATGGTCAGAAATGTTTTTTTCGTCGAACCTTCGTGCTGTTGTTGCCAGCCATGCAACTCTGGTGCCCTCGTTGGCCCTCGTAAGATTGAAACAATCAACGAGAACAAATGGCCCAGTGGAATCCGTTTGCCCATGTCTGTCGTTCCTCCTGACAGTTTCTTAGTCTGTCAGTGGCAAGGATGAGTCAAGCGGGAGGTACGAGACTCACATCTTTAAAGCGGAGACTAATGTCACAATCCCATGACTCTTATGGATCTTCCTTAGTTTTTACCTCTAAAGCCTTGCATAGAAGACTTAATAAGTATAACGAAAGGACTCACTAGTGATTCCTAGCCGCTTCCATGCACAAGCTTGTGCCGTCCTTGATAGACAGCTGGCCTTGTCGCTTTTGCGGATCGTCCTCAGTCGTTGAAACATTACGAATCATCAAACGGCGGGCTAACGCCCGAGCCCATTGATCAGCCTCTTCCGGCGAATCCAGGCGCCAAAATATGGAGGGGTGGAAAGCTCAGACGAGAACGACAAGGAAGAGTCCAGAATGTCAACGGCGGCCATATGTTGTGCCAACGTTAAAGAAACGAGGGAAGTAGACAAGTCAAGAGCGGCTTGCAGAGAGAAACTGAGAGGATGGGTAAGCTTCGCCAAGAGCCAGCACAGTATTAGAGGATTGAAATTTGCACGTTGTTAGGCAACCGTAAAGCGAAGCCAGCCTCTTCTCTTAACGAGGGTCGAAGCGATGCAATGACAGACCCCAGGTAATTGGAACTTCTGCTCTGCATTAACAAGCAGCGTCACATGGTCGGCCACAATTTTCGACTAGACGCTCCAAGGCCTACTCTTAACGCACGACATCCCTCTTTGCAGCGGATGTTAGTCAAGAACTCTTCAACAGCCGGCAATCGCGACCTGTCAATGGGAAATGCTTCTCTTTTCTCAGCAGTACATGCACCCTTGGAATAAAGCACTCGGGCGCAGGGCCTACCTGAGCCGCGTCAAAGAAGATCCACTCCAGTCCGTTTGGGCTGACGCGGCAGTCGTACGTGCCGCGCGTTCCGTTCAGCTGTTGATCCACGACACGTGTCACCTTCTCAGGCCATCCGGGCAACGCCGCGCACACGAGGAGACGGTGCTCGCGTGCGTCGTCGGACCAGCAGTAGGGGACGGAGTAACTAGAGTCGGGGGAGAGGTAGATGCCCTTGCCGAAGGTGCTGCAAAACAAAACGGATCGTGGTGTTGGCATCAAAGCTAGAGTTCGTGACGCGGGGGAAGGTTCTGATGGTTTCAATCAACTATGATTCGAGATAGCCGTCCGCAGTTACACTTGAACGTTTGATGCTTGTGAAGGGAGTCGACTGGCTTTGTGGCCGGCACTTCAATGGGTCCTTTCATGAAAGAACGACCGAAAGGCGCGAAGGTTACATTTGATACTAAGGGACAGGTCTAGAAGGGACAATTCCTTGGCTGAAGGTGCGAACCACGGCGCTTAGCTCTCCTTGCTTTTTCAGCATCACTCCACTTTTAGATAAAGAAGAGGTTGCTTCCAGGAGACTTGAAGCGCGCGTCTCTTTACATCCTCGGCTAGCCCGAAGCCACAAGGCCTTCCGTAAGGGTTATGAGGCACAGCTCGTGTTTCTTCTCGTCGATCTTGCGACTGGACTCTCGGATCACCGAAAGATCGGATACACTTCGAGTCTTCGCTCCCATTCGCCACCTCACGAGTGCCAAAAGCCTCACCTGAACAAGCCTCTAATGAAAAAGAGCCCAAAATTCTCATCATGTATCTTCTCGTCACAGGGGCCACCATTAAGCCCCAACCAAGGATGCACCTAAAGGCATGAAACTTCTGTTCTCACCTCCCGTTCGCCACTCCCACTCCAGACGCCTTGCCGGGGACCACCAACCCCTCACGGACAATGCTCGGGACGTTGCGCATGGCAGTCCCGCTGGAACATCCGTATGACGTCAGCAGCCTGCAGCGGGCGTCACACAAAGCGCAGTGTGAGTGTTGCAGATATGACGTCAGCTGGCCTGTGGGCAAGTGGAGACGGTCCACTGATGTTAAAAGTCTTTCAGCTCAGAATCCAAATAACCTTAGGTATTTGCCACTCTTTTGCCAGAAGAAGGGCCTGCATTTCTTTGGCGGTGACTGTCGACGTCATGACTACTGTCTTGAGCAAAGACACTTCCAGCGCTGAAGGCCTCTGGTACAAGCGCAGGCGTTTAGAGAAAGGTGGAACGTCCAGGAGAAGGTGACCTTTGCAGATTACGAAAGACTCGTCATCTCACGGGCACTGGAAAATGATGTGATTTGTCTGGGACATCACCTGTCAAGGCTGGCATGAAGCGTGTCAGGACAAGAAGCTCCTTGTCACAAACTTTTCATAATGACCATCAAGTGAGTCTGATACCGAAAACGCCAAATGCTTACTGCGGACCATCAATACCGTTGATCTCGTTTCTGCACCAGAACCACACTCATCCAAACATATAAAATTGGTCGACAAGGATCACTCTAAGCCAGTGGTAGATTTGACAACCAACAAGGAGGGTTGGGAATCCCTACTACTGCAAGCTGTGGGTGCTTCTTCCTCAGAACCTCCCTCTTCTCAACAAAGAGTTCCGCCAGGTCTTGCCGCAGCACGTTCTCAATGTTCAGCACCCCAATCTCCTTAGGCAAACTTCCCAACACTTCCATGACACCGCCTGCAAATGGAGATGGCCGGTACTCTGTCCAACTTTCTGTGGTGCCAATCTCTTCCTTTGTGTCAATCTTTCCACCAACAATCCCTGCAGTTACGCCTGACACTTGGGCTGCCAGCTGGCGGGCGGCCGCTGCCTCCACATAAGTGGTGTAAAAATCCACCGCCAGCTCAACGAGGGTGTAAATAGTCTCGCTGCCCAGCTGGCTAGCTGCAGCCAACAGCAGCGAGTCATAGAGCTCGTCCTCCGCTCGGTGTGAAATGGCACCCTGGTTTTGGACTTCAATCAGGGGCTGGGTGTCGGGGTAGCGCTCGGTGCGAGCCACAGCTATCCACAGCCCCGCAGATTCCGTTGCTGCCCGCCCCAGAATTGCTGACCCATATTCAGCGCCATCCTTTTCCACCATTTCCACCCCCCCACTTTCCTCCCTCACGCTGCCCCCCTTTTTGTCACCGATCCCCGCACCCCCGCGCCGCATGACCGTGTGCTTGTCAACCAGCTCAAAATCGCCCTGCAGAGAGGGATCCCCCTGGCCGCGCGGACGCAGCCGGATCCGGACCACCCCCTCTGCAATGCAGGTAACGTCCGAATCATAGATAGCCCGGAGGGCTGCCACCTCATCAGCCCAGCGTTCCAGGTACTCTTGAGGCGCTGCAACAGGGTCAAGCCCCGGGGTCAGAGTCGGTGCACTGCCAGCACTTGCCTGAGAGCTGCCACCTGTCAGGTTGACCGGGCTAGAAAGTATGGTGTCCACAAAGGACACCAAATCGTCCATTGTCAGAGTGGCCCCAAAAGATGGGCCGGTGGGTAGAGACAAGATTTGTGAGTTCAGGACGACGTTCTTTGAATGCCTGTTGGCCCTTGGGTCCTTGTGCCTGCCACTCGACTGTACTTAGCCCTTCCTCACAGCTAACTCGATAGACCAGGCTTGCTGCGCACTAGCAGCTAGAGCTGCAGAAACCCTGGCTGAAACCCTTGCCTCAGCTTGTGTCTTGCCTCATTGTGCCGAGGTCCCACACGACATGATTCATTGATTGCTCTGTGATCTGCTTGACGCCATGCTGCTCGAAGTCCTTGGGTACCATCCTACAATCAAGGGCTGATTGAATCATGTGGGGATCCCCGGCCATGTCAGGTGCAGGATGATCCCCCAAGCAGTTAGATCACGATCCCGGTACGTGACCGGAGCCGTACTAAGTCGCTGGTAACGGGGCTGCCTCTTCTGCCGGTTCTCCGAGACTGGCCGGGAACCGGGTTGCGTGTGTCTGGAGTAAAGTGGATAGAGTCATGGGCGGTAACGGCTGGCGGCGGCACTCGCCCGGTAAATGACGAGACCGCGCGGCGTCGCTTGGCACACGGCGGCCGCCTGCGCAAGCGCGCACGCCTGACTCAGGAGTACACATGTGATGAAATTAAGCCTGAGTCATTGATTTTTGAACGCTCATCCATGCATCTCAGTCTAGCTCCAAGGCTTGCATGGCACATCACGATGAAAGGAGCAACAGCAACTTAAGTGCTTGAGCAGTGCTGATCAAGGCTTTTGTGATTCTAGCTGCCGCCAGCGACATGAAGATCGTAATTACGGTTCGACAATCAGCTCTAGATTGGTATTAATCATATGCATCGCATATATGTTCCATGTCAACTCTACTCACGAGGTCACGTGCCAGCTCTGGGCCTTGATTCTCAAGCTGCCGCCTGATATTGAGTCAGGTTTCAAGACCTCCGGATCGTGCCAGCATTGTTGACCAAGCATACAAGGACGGTCGAAGAAGATTGGAAAATACTGCGCAGTGGCAGTGTGATGACAAGTAGGGTCATGTATTCAGAGTGCATCTGCACTGAAATTTGAACATACAAAAGGATAAGATGTCAAAGGCTGAAAAAGCGCCAACAAGTCATCAATCGAATACAACAGGGTGGCAATCACATCCTAGCCGACATGCCACGGTGCACCGAAGTTCATGGCAGTTGTATGTTGGGGCCACCCGGTTGTAGAAGATCATAGGACAGGTTGATCTATTATTTTACAGTCGGAGTACCTGCTAAACATCTTGATCAACATCAAGATCTGCTAAACATCTTGAAAGACAACTTGACCTTGTTCAACTTCGTATCGTCGCTGCTCTCTGATGCTGAAGCTGGTCGCCGGCATAGGTCCTACGGCGAAGTACGCCGTAGTGAACTTACTCAGATTGCTAACGCTAATGCGAGCAGGTTCTCTACCAAGCGAACAAGCGGGCATGCGGCAACTACTTCTAGATCGCCTGACAGCCGACATTCGGACCTGATTTCTGAACGATGCTCTCTCCGGCAACAGATCAAACCTGGGTACCCAAGTAAGGACGTTGCTAAGCTGATGTCCTTGAAACCACTGCCAGAGCTTAGAGCCTTGGACGAGACTCTTCACATTAACATCTAGGTCCACGGATCGTCCCAGCCCTTTGGTCCTTCTTTTCGAATAAACTCGATGATAGAGTGCACTGCGTCTGCCGTTCTATTTGATAAGCTGTGGTCCCCACCTTGCACTGCGATCGCTTCCGCGCCGCCCATGGCTTTGCTCAACCTGCACAGAACAGAACTTGCTTCGCCCTTTCCCTAAACGACGAGCCAGAGCTAGAGCCCGATAGATGCGTAGCGCCTGTGCAAAACATCCGTCCGTGATATACGGCAAGATTGTTTGGCTATGACGTGCCCAAAAGAACAGAATTGCTTCGAGTGACTGTTGCAACAAATCTCGCTTGCAACCAGCAAAAAGCCATGCGAAAGAGAAGATCCGAGAAGACGAAGCCCTGCGGAAAGAAGATGACAGAACGGATGGAAGGAGAAAACGGACTGGAAATGCAGTCCGAACCACCACACCACTTAGTCCTCTGTGCGCGAGCAAAAGAGGGTGACAACATCACAGCCGGCGTGGTTTGACATGCTGGTTGCTGGCATAGTTTCCAGACTGTATAACGGCCGCGCTGATGGTTCAGACCGCCATCGAGTCAGTGACGTTGTGCAAACCGTTTGCGCGCGGACAGAGTACCAGACGGGGTGGGGTCTGGGACTGCAAATTGCAATCCAATTTCTCTTTCCACCGGTTCTGAACAGTCTCAAAATTTGAGGCTCTTTTTGCAAAGCATCTCAAAAAGTATAAGAACCAAGACCTAAAACGGGGGTCAAATCTCCTTTGACGAACCAAGCGAAAAATCTGAGGGAGACTGCCCACCTTTTCAGCAGGGCCGCTTTGTCGACATGCGGGGGCACAAACTCGTCTTGCATTGAAAAGATGATGGCGGTGGGGATGAGCGCCATGTGACCCAGCTTCCACTCCAGCGTCTGTTGGGGCAGGTCACTGCTAAACATGTCATCGTCCCCGCCTGGCGACGCAAGCGAGTGGTACCTGGAAAAGGGACTATCTGAGAATCCGTATTCGCAGACGCAAGACACCGCGGGAACTCAGTACTCCAAGTATTTGCTGATGACTGGAATAGACGGCAGAATGAAGACGTCAAGTGGGAGAATGGATGGAAGAGAACGGCTCAAGCCGCTGCTGATTATGTTGTTGTCCCTCACCGGCGATGCCAGCAAGTGGTATTGGCCAATGTGGTTATGCGGAAATCCTGATTTTTGGCCGCAAAAAACTGCGAAGACCCTGGCTGCAATGATGTAATGGTTAATTGAGCTGAGGGCAATTGAGCGGAAAGATGGGACAAAGAGAGAGACTCTCAAGTCGCTGCTGACATGTCGTCGTTGCTTACAAATAACTTGAGCCAGTAGTCTCAGTGCGACGGACGGGTGTCTGTAGGATCTCAAGTCCTACGAAAGACGACGAGAAATATAATGCGAGGACTTTGTCCTTGAGAGTTGCTTGTGACTGAACGGTTTCCCGCAACGGAGGAGTTATTGGAGCAGATTGAGGCAGGAACCAAGTGGCTAGAGGGACCACTCGAAGCACGTTAAAAGGGGACGGGCACTGTCAATGCCCCATGCACTGTCAATCCTCGAGGACAGAGAGTGTGGACCCTTGGAAACTTTGACATCAGACTTCGTGCAACAATCAACTCGACAGCCGCTAACTCTTTGAAAACAATCCCTTCAAGTGCCAAGAGGCGCATCGCACATGAACACCTGTCGCAAACTGGCTTGTGAACGATCTGCTTCGGCCAGCCAGGTTTGAAACACTTCTAACTCCTCATGTACCAATTCTCCAAAACTCATACCAAACCCAACCAAACCTGCCACCTCAGAACCCGGCGGTTCGCCGATCGCGGGAGAAGGCTATCCCTGGCCCGTCAACCGACCGACCAGAAATCACACCGGCCCCCCGCCTCACCTGTACGCAGTGATGGGTGCCTCCGGGCTGGCTTCCCGGGGCATCAGCGCGTGCTTCTTCCCCTCGGCGATCATCTTCTCGGCGAGCTGCAGGTGCTTGGCGGTGTCAGGCATGGTCGCCAAGTACTCCCGGTCGCTCACCGGACCCTGTAAAATCACGCCCCGCACCGCGCGCGTGCACACGCCACCTACGCGCAGGTAGTGCACAATGTCCTGCGGGAAGATGAAGTTGCAGCATTCGATAAAGACTGCTTCGCAAAGAAAAGCTAGCATCTCAGAATCTTTTGGAGCGGGTGCTGAGGCGATACAGGTTGGCATGGTCGCGGGATTCGGGCTAAGGGGGCACGCAAGCATACGGCCGCAACCCACGAGTCAGTGCGCAGTTGCCCCCAAAGAAACAAGTTTGGAGCTCTTGAGGTCTGCGAGTCGAAGATTTGATGGTCTCGAAAGTTGAGACGACCTCTTCGGAGGTTTGTCCGTTGATGTGAGTTCGTAACAACGTTTGGGATCAGCTACAGAGCAGTAACAGGGGGGTGCTGCATTGCTTGCTAAAACGGGGTCGGCGATGGGATTGTGGGAGAAGGTCAGAGGTTGCGGGTTTCAAATGGACTGATACTCCACGTAGCAATGGCTGAGTACTGAGTAAGAGGCAGAAGAAAAAGCCAGCTTAACGAAAGTCTGGAGAGACTAGAAGGCTGCTTGTCAATTATCATTGTTCGCTTTCTTCAAGTCCGTCACTGCTGACGTCGATGCCTCATTGAGGAATTGAACACGAGCAGCTTCAATCTGACAAACGTCACAATCCTCCTGAGCGGTTTTCAAAGGAGGAGTTGAGGAGGGGGCCGGATGCCTTGCAAGGAGCTAAGCAGCTCGACAATTGGAACCCAACGGAAGAAGCAGATCAAGTTGCCCTCTTGGAATCACGCGCTTCTTATGATGGAAAGGAGCGATCAACACAACTGCTTCCCAGTCCTCAAGACTCTCCTCAACCAGAACCGCTTACCTGGCACCCTGTACTGTGCCCTATTAGAACCACACCTTCCGAGCCCTCCTCGTTCACCAGGAACTTGATCAGGCTCTCAATCTCTTGCGCATCCTGCAGCCAAAGGTCATTATACCGATTGGGAACTTGGAAACGGCGATCGTTTAGAAGTAGCACTTCCGCTGCTCCTTTCTCCTTTCGTCTGTCGACCTACTGCCAAACGCATGTCCTGCAGTGGCTACAGTGAATTTTCTCTGATCTTTCTTTAGGCGGAGGCTTAATAAGAATGTTTGACTGCAGTCGCCAGCAAGTCAAGGGGCCAGCGTTTCAGCACTCCAAGCAACGTCTACACGGAGACGGTTATGTTGGTGTGAGAATCTCACCTGGTCTAGACTGGAGACTCCGTAGCCGGTATAAGAGGAAGAGAAGAGGGGCTGTACCAGTGACCACTGGATTGCACCAAGGGCATGGGCCAAAGGCTCGACATATCTGCGAGCAGGACACTTACTGTTGAGATAGAGAAAGGCTTATGGATGAGTAAGGCACATTTGACAGACGCAGATTTCTCAGAAAGCTATAGCTGGCTTGCTAGGAGGAGAAAGCACAGACTTGAATTGCCGATTGAATATGACTGTCGACTGATGAATACTGAAGTGTTGCCAGCGAGAGTACTCAAAAACGATGTCCAGCATCAGCATCATTCTTGTGGGAACATCAGGTGTACAGCCTGAAGATATTTACCCAAGTCAAGGCGGAAACCAGCTTGACTATGGGAGCAATCACAAGGCTCTCAAATACTCCGCACTAAGTTGCGCCCCCACGTGCATTCTTCAAGTCACAGCTCCCAGGACATTTCCTGACATAGGCAATGGCACATTGGCCAAAAAAAGACTAACGAGAATGTGTCAGCGCTCTGTGTGAGAAAAAGCAGCTCAACAATCCATCTGCATGTGTCTGAGCCCAGACTTACTTGGTAGCTAAAAGCCCATCCGTCAGACCGCCAATGAAGATGGCCTGCTTGGAGAAGTTTCCACTACGAAAGGCCACCTGATCGAGGCAGAAATGCAAGCAATCCATAATTCTTGATGCACTCATTGTGGAATGTTCACAACATATTCTGCACCACTCAGTTGCTTGAAACTTTCAGCCCTATGTCCCTCAAAGCAAGGCTGGTACTGCTGACTGTCATACTTGAAAGTCGATCAAGCTGGGACTTATTCAGCAATTGAGAGTGAAGCCTGATCAGATTGTGAAACGGCTATGCAAGCTTTCTGCTCAACATAGTAGCTGAAAGCTTCTTTCTGTTGAGTTGGTATTGCTCTGGCAATCAGTGAAACTGCAGCAACTCAGGTTGCAATTGATGAATCTTATGAATATGAGCAATATCAACCCTTCCAGATTCGCTGAAGCATCAGGCCACTTGAATCAGCAGGTCATCTTGAAAAGCTGAGATGGTCTGTGTTACCTGTACTCCCTTGTCGCCATATTTGAAGAGCTTCCCCAGCATCTCCTTCTTTGGAGCCATTGCAGGCGGCTCTACCACTTCTGTCCTCTGAGCGACAGGTCCTTTGGCCAAAGCATTCCACTTTGATTTGATTTGCAGGAGTTTCTGGGAGCAATCCCAGAACAATGTTGTAGGTTCTCGAGGTTTAAAAGCACGCCGCAAGTGAAAATTTAGAGATTCCAAGGAAGAACTTGCATTCACTTTGGGGTGGGTTGAAGTGATGCAGGACCAATCAGTGCAGCTTTGTTTCGTACTAAACTCCTGTCCTGTGTGGATAGTCCAAAGAAGGCCGTCAGGCCTTAGAGCTGCAACTGATCCCAAGATCATGAATCTCCCAGCACGCTGCAGCCACCGCCTGCTACCTCCACAAAAATCCCTTTCTTGCAGTCAGGATGTGCACCAGCTCGTACTTCAGACATCAGACAACCACCAATCAGTGTTGAGGCGCACCACTCTTGTGAAGAACAAGCCACAACCGAAACAAACCTCAGGCTCAGAGTCACTTGAGGCGAAATGCACACATTCCTCTGCAATACAGCGTTTTGGGCGATCTGTATAGGCACCATCCAGGCAAACAGTCTGGAGGATGGACAAAACAACAAAAGCAGTGTCAAGTAAACGCGCCGAATCACTGCGATCTGGCTAGAGGTCTTCGGCAACCTGGTTTGCATACTTCTGAGTCGGTGCATACCGTAGTCCAACGTGATGATTCCGAATAAATAAATAATTATCTGCGTTCGGAAAGTCAGAAATTCGGATTTCCCATTCGGATA